TTCTGGCCGATTCTGGTGCCTTTCGATAGTAAGTTTGCAAGTAAATTATTGTTTGTACAGTTCGAGTTGACGACAGTAATAGGTACATCTATGGTTAAATCGTCGAAAGTGTTCGCGTGAATTGTTTTATTTCTCGCGGGTGTTACTTTTTGGGGATTTGTGCTGGATAGTGATTCTTTGTGCTTTTTCCAGAAGTTTGTTTCAATCTTCATCGTTCCTTTCGGCTTTCTCCTGATTTCGTTTGGGGAGTTTGGAGTGGAAATTGATTCACCGTTTCTCGAGTCGGAAATCGATTTGGCTTTCGATCGTTCGAGTTCGGTATTCTGGAAATCGTCAATTTCTCTTATAATGATGTTAGCTGTTACATTCAAATGAGAGTGTCTGAACTATTTTGAGTAGCGCAGGTACGAGTTTCAATTGGCGCCGTAGTTATATCGAAAATTCGGGTCAACTGTGCTGTTGAACTCGCATATAACATAGAAGACATTACAGAAATAAGTATGATCAACATATGTATTGGAAACTAGAAAATATAATATTCTTAAACATATAAGTATATGATGTAATCGATAAAACATCCATAAAATATTCATGTATTATGAAATCAATGAAATATTTCATTCTTAAACGTTAGTATAGAAAATATATGCTTCTTCGTTGGTAATTTTTTATGCAGTGAATTTTCAGGTAACATTATCATTATTAGACTGCTGCCTTCTCGATCAGACAGGAAAGCGCTTACCATGCATAATATAATTATATACGTATGCATATGTAATTATTATACCGCGGATTTTAGGCACTTATGACAAAAATGAGTGATTAAAATTTAAAACAATGGAAATATTAAATGAATTTTAGGACATCCGCGTATTATTTTCAAGTAAATTAAATTACTAAAGAGAGCAGGACATTTCTATCTGACTACTTTTTGTAATAATTATCGAAGACAATTTTGCATAAAGATCCGCGGTCTAGTAATTGTATGTATATGTATCGTGTTTCGATTTCGTGTAAAATTGAAAAACATCTCCAGACGAAACCGATTGTGTACGACCTTGCGTACTGTGTGGTCAAAGATTCTTAAATTGCTGGATCGAAGGCAGGTTCGCAGAATGTTGCGTGATATCGATTTAACGATCCAGCAAGGAAGAAATATACTCACGCGGTTCGTAACTACCTCTTAAATCATTCTTTCCGACATTGCCAGTGAATTTTACGCGAGCTAGATAACTTATTGCGGTGAAATATTTACCATTACCATTCCATAGTATGGACCATCCCTCAGATAGTCGACTTGTGCGTCTAATAATCATGCGGCAGCCGTGATCGTGTCATTATTGGTCTTTATTTTTCTTTTCTTCTATTTTCTTTTCTTTTTACTGATCTTTTTACTGATAAATACAAGATAATGTAATATTATGCTCATAAATTCCATTAATTAAATATTAATTATATATATTAATTATAAATTTCCATAAATTTCATTAAATTAATATGTACAATTATTGGAATTTAAATTATGAGGAGCATAGTTTTTGTGGTAGACCCAACCACGGCTGCTAAGGAGTGAATCGGTGGTGCGGGGTAGGTGAATTTACAAAAAGTTATAGAAGTTCCATAAAATGGCACTCTTGTTAATGTGACTTTATTCGTTGACGGTACTTATGTACAAAATACAACATACATATAAACAGGGACTGGGTGTACAGTGGCTCGGGAAATACTTTTTCTGCGACTTTTATAAGGTATTATAGGGCCACTGAAACTAATTGGATGACCATCGACAGCTGCGACCACTGAACAACCATGTTCACGTATTTCCTCGTGGAAAACGCGAGATAATAGTAACATTTATTTCGGTTATTAAACATGCCAACAAAATAAAAATGATATATAAATGACCGATTCAATCAAATGTAACGAAGCCTGAATTTTTATCGACGGAAACATTTTTGTGCTTATAATTATTATCGTACCAACAATTTTATCATAACTAATTTTCAGAAACTCCGAATGCACACTGACCTGTAATCTGGTACTATAAATATTAGTTGTTGATGTTAACAGATTAAAGTTATCATAATGTCAAGAATTTTTGAAAAATGAAAAATGAATTGAAGTACATCCATTCGCTTACGGTTGTAGTCTTAAAATTGCGTCACTTTAAGTTCAGAAATAAAATTGTCCTCCAATTATTTTCAGCGACACGCGATGAAATTTAGAAACTTGAACCATTTAAACCGGAGCCACCATGCACACATATATACATAATACAATACAATAATACTCGAAGCGATCTAAAGTGCTGTTTCTGCATGCCAGACTCACACTCCACAACCTTTAGGCCCATCCTCTAAATCAGTAGCCTCGATTCAAGAGGAGGATACTGGTCTACTACAACGACGGAATGGCGTGCCGTTTCGTTAAGTATACAGGGTAAAGTAGTCACATGATCCTACGAAAGTACGTAGATACGATGCATAAATTACTACGCGTATTTACTACTATTTTTAATTGTTATTGCATGGTGATATCCGGGGCTCATAAAAGGGTAGCTTATGGCTCGGTGAATGATCTCAACACTGTCAGCTCAACATAGAACATGTTATTTTGTTTACGATAATGTCAAAATTGAGTTTTGGACATAGCTCGAGTTGACAAAGTGTATTAAATGATGTTGCCTGTTAGCCATCCCGCCTGGTGAGGCATTAACGTGGTTCCTTTGCGACTCTTAGCTAACATAACTGTTTACTTGGTAGACTCACAAATGCATAGGTTAAGACCAGTAGCGTTCGATACATTTTATAAAGTCATAGTTGCTTCTACCGAATAAACAATTATTTATTCATAATGATATATTTATTTATAATGTAGTAAACAATTATTCGTTGTTATTTCTGACACAATAGACAAAACAATTTTTAATTATCCCATGTATCCTATTATGTATTCTCTTAAGTGGAGTTATAATAATTCTTTCGTAAATGGATTTGTAGAAAAAATACATTATTATTCGAGACGAGTGAAATTGAAAGCAAAGAAAAATTTCCTTCGTGTACTTTTAACAAATTAGAAGAGTCACGTATTGACTGTATTATGTCAGGTACCCAGAAAAGTGTTCGCCGATTACTGTTAGTCGTAATGTTTGAAGAGTTTCATGATAAAAAAATATAAATATAAAAATCTATAACTTAAATATATTTTATTAATTTTTCAGGATACCTATATATAACGCAGCTGAATACTTCTACACAACGCAGCAAGTTGTTCATTTTGAAAAATTAATATTACTTTCATTCGTTCTTATGGCTTTCTAATTAAGTATTCCTTATTAAAAAATGCACAACTTTGTAATTTGAACCATTCTTCTAACTCGAATAGTTTCCGAGATATTCGACTAAATTCGAGCCCCAAGATTTGCGGCTGTTTTCATCCCTGAAATGCGAACGAGGGCCGATAAAAAGAATATGCGTTGAATATTTTTCGAAGAACTATCCTTTCCCAAAGTTTCATAAAACTCGGCGTCTGTAACATTTCTGTATGATCCCTTGTTATTGAAGTTACATGAATAGGAACAGTATATTCAGACTGTCAATCGCGACAACATATGTATTTCGAAGCCATACAGGTCAGTGTGGTAGCCATGATTCCGAATAACTGTCCTGCACTTCTATAATAATGTACTTCTTTACAAATCACACGAACGTTCGAAGTACAATGCCTTGGCCACGCTGCTGCCATCGTGCTAAAACACGTGTCGTGCGTTAACTTTGTTGCAAAAATCAACGTGCATCTTTCATGTCGTCAAAGAATGACGAAAATAAAATAAAGACGGATACGTTGCGCTGTTTATTCAACGATAGATATAAATGACTTATGCGTATCGTATAGTCGAGTTTGAGCTCAAGCGATGTTTCTATCTACCGTAAGGGGATAAATCTCTGGAATGTTCACCCTCGTGCATCGATGCTCCAAATATCGTTCATAGTGCGCGATTACTTTCTCAATCCCAGATACGAGGCAATGCCGTTAATACTCTCAAAGAAGAGGCGCAAGATCTCCTCTCTGTTGTAGTTGTTCCGCATCGTCTTCGGTCTTGTTGGACGATTCCGCGCGTCATGCAAGTGCTCCTCCATCAATTGCTACAGTACAATATTACCTCGATTACGAGAAAATTTATGCACGATACCGAGTCGGAATACTATACTTTTCGCGGGCAACGGTTTCTGCGTGGCATGAAACGCAACCGTGAAACATATTACGTCGCTTCCTTTGTAATTACTATCGTCCATAATTATTCGATCGACTTCGATGCTTTATCCAGTTTGAAATATTAATTTCTTGTTCTACGATTTCATCGATGGCTAAAATGATACGAGATTTATTGAGTTAGTAATTTTCGGAAATATACAACGTGTCTCAAAATTGTGGTACTTCTAGGAAATAACGGGTTCCTGAAGTCATTTGAAGTAACTTTTTCCTTAACGAAAATGCAATCCGCGGCTTTGTTTACGAGTTATTGGAGAAAAACAGTGACCAATGAGAGGCGAGATCAGCTGACGCGAGGTGGCCGAGCCAATGGGTGTAAGCTCGTTGGCTCGGCCGCCTCGCGCTAGCTGAGCTTGCCTCTCATTGGTCAGTGTCTTTTGTTAATAACTCGTGAACGATGCCTCGGAGAAAATTTTTCTAAAGGAAAAAGTTACTTCAAGTGACCTCAGGAACCCCTCATTTCTCGGAAGTACCATAATTTTTGGACGTCCTGTATATTAATTGTACGCTTAAGTTCTTTGTACGAGAAAGTAGCAATTTATCTCGATCTGATGGAAATAAGTAGCTTCCGCATTTAACAACAGAATTACCGAGCTCTAAACGTAACTGTGTTACAGTGTTTTGTAATGATCACGAAATTGAATATACTCTAACTTCGGGCGATTATGACTGAAGGAAAAGTTCATGAAAAATGTATTCATAGAATCTCTTTTATAATGTCGGTTATCTTTTTTTAAAGATTCAGACGTCAAACATTTTTACTGGTTTGGTGATTCCAGTGTTAAAAAATTGTATTTGACATTTTTATCACAAATCTGACTTCACATTCTGGTTTTCTTTTTTCTCAGCAGGGCAATCCAGCAATTAGAAGATAAGATGAAAATTGAAGATATTTTTTCCAAAGGAAAGGAAAAGACATTTGAAATTTTCATATTATCGTGGATATACATACATATATTAGAAACTTCTATTGAGTGGTCAGTAGATGATAGTACAACTGAGAGGGGGAGAAGCGCGATTCTACATCATAAAATAAGACGATAATATAGAAAAAATTTTGTCATTTAAGGTTTCGTTTCCGAGAGAAGGACGAGTTTGAAAAATAATGATATCGAATAGGAATCAACTGGCGTGTCTGATTATCACCTATCTGTTCTACTTCTTATCATACCACGTATAAGCTACGACGTGAATCTGGGATCTTTAAATTCATTTTTCTCGAAAACGAAGATTTGAATTAAAAAATATTATTTTTTTTCTCAACTTATTTTGCCACATTGAATCTCCCTTCTTCTGGTTGTAGAAACAGTTACTGGCCATCCTACACGCGATGCTGGAAAGAAGCTAAATTATAATTTATAGTGTTCTTTATGATTTGTATTGCATAGTGAAACTTCAAGAAATCACCTTGCGTTGTGAGGGTAAATTATGGAAAAAGTTTTTTACATTTCTCACATTCGGAATATAGATTAAAGCTATTTATTCGGAATATATTATTAAATCTATTTATTAATATAAATCATGTAATTTCTTTGCTTGCATAATTAATTGCTTAATGAAATAATTGTTTCATCTTTGACTTTAGATTTTGTCATTCACTGCAGATTCACTGTATTAATAAAACAAGTTTTATTAATTGGTAATATACTATCCAATTAAATCTCCTCCGTTTTGAAGCCGTTTGAAGTCGTTCGAATAATTATGACGGATAGCGCGTGTATCATGTACAAACGGAAACTCTACCGACAATTACTGGAAGTGAATGGAGCGAATCATTGTATTGTTTTCTTTTGGGGAACACAGAACAAAGCACGTCATTCCGAAAATATGCATATTTGAATAACGTTGAACAACGAATTGTATTTCTTCATAATTAATAGGAACATTATGTTATGTGACACAATAACGAAAACATTAAATATTGCTTTTCATTGTAAAGTAGTTTGAGTACTGTTTCGATGACAAAAACAGTGCAGAGCGTTACTTAAATCATTTTTTATCATAACAGTTCCATTTGAAATTGCAACCGAAACACAGGTTTGTAATTGAAGACTTAACATATTAAGACAATAAATTCTTTTGGAAGGAAATATCGATTTGCAAAACAAAATATTATTGTTATTTATCGTTAAACATCCAAATCGTGCTAGACACAGATTCGCGAATTTATTTGATGCTTGCTGTGACAGAGGAGAAGACTAGACGTCAGACTTGCTTTGAGGGAGAACTTGGTGAAGGGAATTATCATTAATTACATATTACTATGTACATCGTGTGCGTGTTCTTAATATCTGTTAGGAGTAATAAATTAAGAACTCGATGAATAAAAGCATGTAAGAGATGGATAAGCTTCTGACGTATGTAACAACGTCCAGAGAAACATTTTCCCAAAGAAAAGAATAATGTTAAATTAGAAGTGATTCTGGATAGAAAAAGATCCTTCTATCAAGGGTTTCTATAAAATAATAGCTTGACGCATATGAGATATCTGAATAGTCAAATTTAATAACACAGATCAAACGTTAACTGATTATTTAATATCCTCGCAACTAGAATCATTTTTCAGATGTCGATTAATCCGAAGAATTATGAAAAACTTCGCACGTCAGCATCAACGATCGAAAAAGAGTGTAACGCGATTTCTGGAAGATTTAGTGTCAACACTTCCACAATCTGAGATATTTCTCCATACAAACCGTGCGAAGGCAATGAAAAAAGAAAGGTGTTCGATCATTCGAATTACTTAATAAATCAATGAAAACGATTTACATCTCGTATGTAACAACCTATTACACAGGATGAACCGGCATGAATTGCTATAAATTGTCCACCGTGCGCAGCGAATCAAATTCCACGTTCATCGACTGCAAATCAATTCTATCGATTCGAATTGTGTCCTGGCGTTCGTCGAATCTAAGGGGGTTAAATAATAGTTCCCTGACGGTCGAGATCTCTTCCGTTCTCTGATTGGAAATCGCAGAACAGAATCGACACGAGAAGAGCAAGCAAAGACGTGTTTGTCCGACGATATAAATATTCGAGTATTTGTCAGGTAATCGATATTTAACGCACGACGTTCTACCATCGAGTAGGCACATATTTACCTACATGTACTATCTACTAGCTAACGCTAACTAGCAATAACCAGTGATCCTGTATGCAAGAGTATCGATCGTTTCGCAACCTGTTAAATCCATGCGGACGTTCGCAGCGTTTCAACTGCGCCGCGACACGGGCGCAACTAAACTGTTCTACTGTATCGACTAAAAATACATTGCCAGCCAAAAGTATCACGTATGTTCCATTGTTTCATGCACTTCCTACTTGTGTGCTATTGCTGGCATGCTTAGTCTAGGCTCTAGGTGATCCCGAATTTGACGAACTTCCCACTAGCAACTAAAATGTAGAAAGTCATAGAATAAGGATTCTTTGTGCATGTCAAATATTTTTGATTACAAAATTGACAGTCATTTTTATCTCAAATGTATTCGATTACAGATACTAATGAAAAGCGACTGAAATTGACCCTGCCAATAATCATTATCGATGAGAAAAATTTATTTCGACTTGCTCGTACTGCGGATCTTCTGAATTCTCGACTTAACTCGTTTGTTTCCCAATGTAGTTTATATTACAGAGTGATTTCTCGGGGTGATTAAATTATTGCATTAGATTGCTGTTATCAAAAAGTCTATTAACGTGTTCTCAGTTATGAACCATTCTTTTCTCAAAGGTATTAAATAAAATGTTTAAGACATATTAATAGATATTTCTAACGTATATTTAATAAAGCACTCAATTAAATCAACGTTTCCACGAAAAGTAGGAAAATAATTATAGTCTCTTTTAGTCACTGGGCTGATGAATGTGTTTGTCGCTCAGAATCTGTAATCGTTCCAAATATGGTCATATAACGTACGCCTATGCACGTCACTGTCGCCCACATTAAATGGAAACGCTTAATAAACATGAAAAGTCTGTTTGTACATAATTTACTGGAATTTTCCTAGATACTTAGAATAGTGTCCCCAGGTTTTTTGTGACTATCACACCTGGCCTCACACTTTTGGCCGACACTGTACGTTCGAAGCGATTATTAAAAGCAGTCGACGCGGAAAGTTGTTTTATGTAAATGCATTCTGGTTACGCAATGGACACGATTGCAACCTACACCTCGTCCCTCCTATTTCCGTAATAGTTGCTATATAGCAAATCCACACGGAGAAATTCGAATCGTTTCAAATTTTATAGATACCGCTGCTCGTGTTGAAAATCATCGACGATCCACGTCTTGACAATTGCGTCCATAAAATTTCAAGTTTCCGCAATCGATGCCAGAACATTTATCTTATTCCGCGGAATTTCTGTAACGTGAACTATCAATGTTCTGCAAGTATTTTTCGATTGCTATCAGCATCGTTCCATTAATTCTTTGCATATATTGTTCAATAATATTTTAACAAAGTGGTAAGAATGACGCAATTCTAAATGTTGCTAGATCGCTAAAAATACAACATAATGTCTCTGGATCGATTACACGCGTTATGTATCTACATATTCAATACCACAAGTTATCAAACACGATTCGATACCGAGCAGCCAGAATTATAAAATTCCAAACGGAAGGTGACTTTCGATATTAACTGGTCGATATTAAAATGGAGCTTCTTGGTTATTTAGTTAGCCACACGTAACATGTAAAAGATATAAGGATGAAAATGTAACGGAATCTACAGTCGATTTACAATTTACATTCGAACGATCATCGGTGAATATAAATTGCAATCTAAACGGTAATCAATAAATAAAGGCTACGGGGCACCTAATAAGTATTCGAGGTTTATAATTACTTAAGGTCGCTAAGGGATCTATACGTCCGCCTGCTGTGTGTCCCTAAGCTGATACGAAATACAACGTGCAGACGCATCTAGGGCTCGCTATGCTACAGTACCGTAATGTGTCTCGAGTTAGGGGTGCCTAAGGGTCGTGCTTCTCGGCTCGTGACTGTTGTTGACTACGTGGTGGTGTTCGTCTAGGCGGTCTATACTTTACTTCTATAAAAACAGCCTTTTTACTTTCCGTACGGTTGATACTGGCCGTCTAGGTTACTCACATATTGCCCGTGATTCGACGTTGGATATTCGGCCCATTTGGTCAGGTCCATGCTGGGCAGAACCCCGCTTCGACAGGCAACTCGAGGGTTTCTGGGAACAAGAAACAAAATGTTGAGTAAGCCTCAGTGTTCGAATATATTATTTTTATTAACACTTTATCTGCTGGCAGTTTTCTAATAGTTCTGTTAAATTCAAAGACCAACGGTTGAGTGATTCTTTAAAAAATTGTTCAAAAACTACAATAATCTCATCCATCGTCCATCAAATTGTTCAGGCTGATATAACGTAACAAGATCTTTTGAAAGAAAATCGTCGAGTTTCTCTCACTAATTCTGTCATTTAAAAGCTTATTAATAGATTTCCGGTCAATATAGTGTTAGTAAAGCATGCTTACAATATAAGTTGGTATGCTTGAGTCTGTTTAGTATGGCTGAGAAATGCGAGAGTCCTTCATAGCGTATACAACCTGATTTGTATATTATAATTGTTATAACTTAATCTATATCTAACGGAAATACAATTAACATTCTATTCACGATCAGCTTCGCTTGTTTTACCCAACAGAGGAATTAGGAGAATCCTTTGATAGAGAGAGAGAGAGGGAGAGAGAATTCTACGGTACATTAGAAAAGAGTGAAATTAATAAAGCAGGGCTTCTTCGGGGAACAACAATGTCTTATGTTAGTATCTTTTTGGGAAATTTTTGTAAGCTACGAATACATCCCTGGTGATACAATGATTGCGCAATGTTTATAGTTATTAATGGATCGTAGGATAGATTCTATCTATTCATCTACACCCGCATCATGTTTTCACACGCAATAACTTATTACGCAATAACTGTTTTTAACTTCTGTTTCGATTTCCATGTCAATATTATTGATGTAACGATCGATTCTGCAGACTTCGACGCACGACTTCGACCGATTCTCACGGCACACTCCGTTGAAAACGGATCACGAACGAAACTGAATACATCGAAAATGGTAGCAAAATCTTAGCACGCGGAGACGATTTCCCACAAACGTCGTTCCTGTTAGGCAACGCAACGATCACGACTTCAGACACACCTGTTCCTCATATTTAATCCTTTCATTCTAGCAAATGTGCCCGACAATGCTCCGTCACCGTATGAGACAGTTTAATCCAAGTCTACACTTTTCCATGAAATAATGAACAATTTGTTACTATTTTATATTATACGAAGAAAAAAAAATATATATATATATGAAGAAAATCTCAAACGACTTTTCGTCTAAATAGAGAAGCCTAATCTTTCGTTAATTTTATTCTCATTATCTTGAAAAATGGGTATGGTGTATTTCAAAAATATTTTATCCCGAATTTTCAAGTTTAGGAAGACAAATGAAAAACAGAGTTATTTATAGGACGAATTATAAACAAATACACATACGAATAATCAGATCTACAAGGAAACTCAACTACAATTGTTGTGCACTTGTTTAATATTCCATAATTGTTGTGTACTTGTAGAATTTCTATAATTGTATAAACGAAGTAATAGCCATCTTGAAAAAAAAGTCACGGTTGTTTTTCCATGCAGGGTAATTTTAAGGTTAACATATTTTCATGCTTGAAACTCGTTTGTTATCAACTACGATACTACAATGATTGTTACAACCGAAATGAATGAAACTCATAGCATGACAATTATTTTTTCGATTTCGATGACAAATAGCATAACCGCTATTTATAATCAAAATTTATAGAAACAGAAGTCTTTTTTATCATACGATCTGAAAAATTTTGTTGTCTCACGTATTATGATAAACGTCTTCAATATAATGAATAAGTTTCCGTTACCGAATTTTCTTGTAAAAATATTATCTGCTTAAAATTGTTCAGCGACTACTAGACTGCGGGATTAACGTATTCATAATCAAAATAACTAGTTAAAATACCAAACTGTATTACATTCTCTTCAGTTTCTCAAAATTCTTTAAAGAAGAAATTCATTTCTGTTTAAAGCATGTCCCTTGCGATTTAGAGAACTAGTAAACATTCTCAGTTTGGAAATTACTGGATCCGATACATACATTTCGTGGTCGGGCAAGACCATAGGGTAGATCTGTATGGTGTCGATCAGGTCGGTGTTGTCGCAGATCACTCGGGCGAGCTTTATTTTCCGAATCTCGTTCAGTTGTTCTGAAAAAAATGATGGTGAAAGTGAACCTGTTGAGAGGTGGAGCGGCCGCGATCGTGTGTCGTTACACTTGTCCTGGCGATCGACGTTCGTGTGTCCTTGATCGGAGTAGCGCTCGTGATCCCCGATTCGAAAGGTTCTCTTACCTGGAGTGAAGGACGATGGCTGGTTCGGCAGCTCATACCAAAATCGGTCGCCGCGACGGGAATAGCTGAATTGCGTGGCAATTATACAGGCGAAGGTTGGCCCGAGCATGCTACCCGGAAGCGGCCTCTCAGAGACACCTCCGGACCAGAGATCGACGTCAGCGGGATGTCTGAAAGTTCGAATCGCGTGGAATCGCACGGAGAACGGCATGACATCGGATGAAATCGGACCGTTACTTCTGGGAATTCCCTCCGCGAATCGGAGAAACTGTTCCGGCGATGCGTAATCGCGCTGGACACTCAGGACTCGTTCGTGAAATTCTATATTTAGCACGTCTTGAATTATTAATGAAGTTATGATCGATCATATTATTCAATGAATCTTCATTCACTGGTGTCCAGAACGTTCGGTAATATTTTTCTTACAGCCAGGTATACATATACATATATATATTATGTTTTTTGAAGTTTTAATGTGTTTTTTTCGGCCAAACGGTACAAGCATATTCTATCGGCGAAAATAAGAAACAAAGTGCCAAATAAATGTAGGCTGAAAAATGCTTTATTAAAAAGTTATAAGAAAAATAGGAAATAACAACGGACTGATTTTCGTTCGACAGTAGAAATATGTCAGTGGCATTTCTCTTATCTGCATTTATTTATTCAAACTATGTTTACGAAGCTGTTCAATTTTTCATACATGTCAATGCTATATTTCAAGAAACGGGCGACACTTCTAAATAGAACTAACATATGCAGATAATATTCCCGATCAGTCCGTTATTGTTTTTTATTGTTCTTATAATTTTTTAATAAAGCATTTTTCAGCCTATGTTTACATGACATTTTCTTCCTTTTTTGCTCGTAGAGCTGACACCGTTTGGCCGAAAAAACCTGGGACACCCTGTATTCATATGCTTCCGTAACAATGTTCTTTAGTCAACCTTAGTCTAATCAGTCAACCCTTGCCTGAAAGATTCTAAATCATTTATGGTACATTACTAGAGCAGACCGAAGATTCGGTATTAATTTCGGTAGATTAAGTTGTTACATTAGTATTACAAACTAACATTTGAATTACGAGACTAAGATTAATTTTCTTCTTTACGAAGTTATTTTACCTCATTATAATAAGTGATACAGTGAGTCACAGTCAAAATTGGACACCGCATATAAAAATACATTTCATATGGTATCAAAAGTTTAAAAGATTATGTAAAAGTAAAACATGACTTTGATTTTCTATAAGCTTTAATGAAACGTGCAAAAATTGAAACTATTTGTTAGATACTTGGTATTCTAATAATAATTTTTTAAATTTCGGTTCTATTGGAGCCGGTTGCGGGTTCCGGCGTTCGAGTGTTAAAAATCGTTGCATATGCACAGACTACCTATGTGTATGTTTAAAAATAATTTGGATAACCAGTGACAATTTGTCACACGTAACACGGTATTGTTGCTGGAAAAGTATTGTTCCATATTTTCTTATGTTAACGGCCAAGAACTGTAAATACATTTTTACATATGATAAACTTTATCTGGTACTCACTCTACACGTACTCTAAATGCAAATGTAAAGCAATATGTCGAACTGTGGTTGGTTTACTCACTCGAAGATGGAGCTGTAGCGTCTAATGGTCTCATTTGGCATGGAGCCGAAGAGTTCCTCGAAGGTGTCCGCCCAAGGAAGGCCGCAGAATTTTCTGTGATACAGTCGTAGACGTTAGATATGTCCGCAATGAATCGTCAATCTTTAATTAAATTATAACAAGCTAAAATTAGCATTAGTTCTATGTAAATCTCTAACATTTAATGATGTACTTTCTTGTTCTATACTGTAAAACATATAGCGAATTTACTGTCCGGAACAAAAAGAAAATGTTTCTATCATTCTGAAACAAAAAGGTAGGCTGTCAACATTCAAAAACTCTTGTCATATCATGTTGTTTCATTTTCGATCGAGATTTAAAGTAAGAACTGTTCTAAACTAAATTATGTCCATTTATACAGGATGTACCATAATTATGTTAACATCCAGAAAGGGATGATTCCTGAGATCATTTGAAGTAACTTTTACCTTAGCGAAAATACAATCTGCGGCTTTGTTTACGAGTTATTACCGAAAAACACTGACCAATGAGAGGCGAGTTCGCCTAGCTAGGCGGCTTCGACCGCTCCTTGCCTCGGCCGCCTTGCGCCAACTAATCTCGCCTCTCATTGGTCAGTGTTTTTCGTTGATAACTCGTAAATAAAGCCGCGGATTGCATTTTCGCTAAGGAAAAACTTACCTCAAATGACCTTAGGAATCACCCCTTTCCGGGTGTTAATATAATTATAGGACACCCTGTAATACAACTATTGACATGTGGTCCCCGTCACCGACCAAGCGTGGTCCAATGAAATAATAATTTGTTTTAATTATTTATCGTTTCATGCGTCAAGTATAACTTGCTGACCTGAATTCCATATAACTCGGAATTGCAAATTCACGACCACGTTGCATATTGAACGAAACAAGGTCCAAACCAAACTTAGCTCCAGCCTTTTTGAATAAATGATTGGTAACCTAGAATTATGATAGATACGTAGTTTATGTGCTCACATTTTGGCGGATAATTATATTGCGAAAGTTCATACTTCTTGCGTGATGGAGTCGTCCATAGCTTGAGCAACTTGGTTCATTAATCCCATAATGTATTCATCGAATACACCGGCACGGTACAAATCGTAGGGTCTTCTGATTAAGTCTGATAACCTCTTGGAAGCTTTTTAAAAATTATTTGAAATTAATTGAAATGAACGACTCGTTAACCGTGAGGGCTTATATATGGTATGAGAATATTTGTCATATACTTTGGTACGACGTAAACCTTCATACGTTCCTCAGGATGAAAGTTTACATATTTTCTGCTTCCAGATACATACTCTGAACTGCTTCCTTCTCGTTTGTATATTATTAGTCAAAAGTATAATATATCACATGTGATAAGGAAAAGTTCTACATTGTTAACATGTTTCAATTAGCCATCATATAAGATTAGAATTTTATATTTTACATGAAAAAAGTCAAAACGAGTTTGATGTAGATCGATATTTAAAAATATAATACATGTCACGGTGTTAGTTTGTGTTTTCTCCTAGTATGCATTTTCTACACCTAACATTATCTATTTTTGCACGTAATATCGTTATTGTAATGACGAAAGATATAATAAATTTTCGTGCCGAATCCAATATGTACAATAGACAATTAATTTGCCAGATGAAACAAAATTGCAAGAAATTACAAAAAATTTCGAGTGGTATACAGAGATTTCTTTTGATTCAATGTATTTCTTTAAAATGTAGATTATGAATTAAGTATAATTTGAAACTTTAGATGAAAATAATAAATTGTGTTCTAGGATCATTTGCACGATTATTTCTGAGAACCGTATGAAGGTTGATAATAAGAAATGCTTCAAATTACCTATAAATTTGTGAGCTTTACTCCATCTTTCGACCGCTGTTGGTAACAAGGAATGACCAAATCTAAACGCCGCAGACGCGAACGCATCAATCACTGCCGGATTTACACTTTCATCGTAACCGTCCCAGTATTCCTTTAAAAGTTCATTCGAAGTTATTAAGATAGACATACTTAGTACATAACAGTACTGTGGGCTAATTTTAAAAATTAGACATGGAAAAATGATTGATTATACCAAAAAATAAATTTTTATGCTAACTTGTAGAATGTATCCAATTTGAATAGAATTTACGAGGTGCTAATTGCTGTTATATTATTTCCATCTTAAAATTATAAAAAGAAAAAAAAAGAAATACACTTTAATCAAACTCTTAGATGTTGCAAGGGATAGAGAAAATTACATTTTGCACGTAAATTCGCAGTTATTAGTCTTCAAAACGTCACTGATATTGTCTTACATTTTTCTCAAGAAGAAGTCCGAATTTCTCCATGACATCTTTTCCAAGCAAAATGGGCAGGAATTCGTTGTACGTGATGTGCTGAATCTGAGCGATGACAATCCGTCTAGTTTCCTGGAACAAGGTCTCGTCGTCCCAGTGCGGATTAATTTGATTCAGCGATTTGGCAATCCTGTTGTGCTCCCTTGCCATTAAAGTGTGCATGCATGTCAACACTAACTGCTCGTTCACTCGTATCTCACCTGGAGACAAACGTCGCGATACATTCAGCAAGAATGTCATCCGATATCTTTCAGAAGCGTGTTACTCTTTTAGTATGTATACGAAAAGTAGGACAACCGCATTCTATGATTTACAGATATACGAACGACTTTATCGTAACGTAAGGTGACCGCAAAATATTCTTTGTGATTTATACATACAAGTATTCGAAATACCTTGTAATAACAGATGTGGAGCAATTAGCATTCGAAGTAATTGAAATCTCTTAGCGTAGTCGATTTTGAGTAATTGACATAATTTATAGTGAAAACTATACTGGGTGAACTCAAATTTGTAGTACAGTCGAGCAGGGGGTGATTCTACGTGAAAAAATAAGAAACAAATTTGGTATAACATTTTTTTATCCGGAGCTTCGTTTTCGAGAAAATCAGCTGTAAGTTTTGTTCATCTTTGTACAGGATACAGTAAACTCTCCGTAATTGGCGCTCAGATTGTGTACAAAAATGGACAATTTGGGAAGAGGAGATACGATTATTCGAGCCTTGTGGCTCATTTTTATAGTTACCGATTATCAACAACAATAAAAGAAAAAAAAACGTATATATATTACTATTTAATTAATTAATTATAATATTTATATTATACTATTTAACAAATTGATCAAGTATTAATATATTATATGTATACATATTAATCGTTGATAAGTTTGTTAAATAATTTCGAGATATAGTTTTTTGTAAATTCTTCACTATTTCTTTTATAAGTGCAGAACAAATTATTTTCACTGATTATTCTGTATCATCATGATCACAAATATAGAAACTAGTCTAGACTAGCCACTTGAACATCTAAAAAAAGTTTAATTCATGTGGTACAATTTAGAAGTTATTGCGTTTTAAAAAGTGTCCAAATACTAACGTTACTGGCCTATGTACTATACTGTACTACACATGTCCTTCTAATAAAATAATTTGATGCGTTTGCTCGAATTAATGTGTTCCGCGTTAATTGATACAATAAATTATGCGTGAATGAACAGTTTCGGTTTGCAAAACAGTGTAATAGCTTCGCCAATGGAGCTGTTGACCTTAGTTCCGGCCACTCCCTTTCTACACCGATAATGGACCGATCGAACAGTTATCAACGTTCTTCGGCTTGATAGCGCAGAAATGCGAACATTCTAAAAGTGAATATCGACACTGCTGCAGGTAGATGATACGCGATGATTATCGTCGATAGTCCATCAACGATGGCTAGCCCCGTGCGAGATTATTAATTAAACTTTATACTCAGGTGGCAATTTTAAAACATCACTCGATATCACTAATAATAATAATATTTACATTACTAATGTAATAATACTAACTAATTATAATAATTTTTTCATTACTTAATTTTTATACATCTAATCAATGTGGATAACATGATCAATTTGTGTCTTTCTCCTTTCTGAATTAGTAGATGCAACGGTAAGAGGGACTTAAATTACCGCGAAGAATACTTGCAGTATTATCAATGGTATTTGTTGATTATACGGATATGTTTTAGGTCCGATTTAATTACGTTTAATTTAACAACGAACAAATACAGTTAACCCCTTGACATACCATTTTCTCCGCAGTTACTGCGATTAGAAGTTTTTCGATTGCAATAATTTCTTAAAAGAGAAAGAAAATTGATGCTTATCGTGTGCCTAAATTTACTTGAATGCTTAAATATTGTTGACAAGAGATTCGAATTTTATGCCAATTTTAAAGAACAGAATAGACGAGTTGGACTAGTCAAAGTACAGCAAGGGGTTAATGTTATTAAGCAGATTGCGGATCTTCATGTCAATTTTCATTTTCACATGTTATTTCATAGAAATCAAAGTTATTGAAAAATTTTCTTTGTCCTCACAAAATTCTTCGTTGCAGAAATATAGTAAAACTACTATCAACCATTGCTAATACCGTAAATCTATGAAGTTCGGCAATCTAGTTACTGATAGTATTAAGTGACTGAATTTTACGTTTACTCAATTTAGACACTGCTCCAAATTTTGGCTGCACTCGCAAACTTTTACGAAAAATATTTTATACGTACACGAAGTTGCAGCAAACTATTTTTGTAAATAATGAAAACTATGATTTAAACTATCAATTCTCGTAGACATCATTGTAGACTTGATCTCCGAAAGCAAACATTTCAAAGCTGATCGGGATAGATTATTTTTTACATTATTTGAAGACTCGCATGAATATCCATAATCTAGTAATAATGATCTCTCGGAAAAATTTCTTGAACATGGTTTTAAAGACCCGCAAAGCTATTCGGTAGATCTGAGAGAACAACTGGTGGAAACGATCATTGAAATTCCTAGGTATCACTGAGACTCCGCCTTCTCGACGAGATTAAGCGTCGATTAGGTCAACGCGTTGTACAGCGCACATTATTGCACCTAACTGCGGCTTACCACGCGGATTGTGATTGAATTGTTTAGTCTCGCGTACGCACGATTACCGCGTCGAATAAGCGTGATTTTCCGACTGGTTGCACGAAACGTGAGAAAAGTTGTTGCTCGGCTAGGGAATGTGACGGGTGTGCGATAATATCATGAACGGTAACGACTTTTCTCGCTGTTCAGAACACGTCTATCCGATCAAATCGGAGATGCGGAAGACGCAGGTTTGTTCGCGTTTGTACGTACATTCTAATGATACGTTCAACAAGTAATAATCACGTTCCATTGTTTGTCGAAGACAGATTATTGTCAATGGCGAAAGCATTCGTTTCTTATCGCTAGGTCGCAAATGTCGCTGGAAATGTACACCTTCCAGTTAACATTCGTACGGCGAGGCGAGGCTTCATTTCAACCCAGTATTTCAAAAGCATCGTCCACCTATTCAGCTCTTGGCAATCCATCTCAATTATAGATTGTGCAACAGGAGAATTAATTGATGAAGAACAGGATGATGATTTACTTCAATGCTCAAAATGATATGAAACCGCAATGATTTCAATATTTCGTCGGAAAAATATGCGTAGAAACGGTTTTTCTGTCGCCACTCGAAGAAAAGTGTCAGAAATAAATTTACCTGCTTCGAAGCAGTACATCGAACGGTTTGGTCTCGTGCAGCCCTCGTCCGGGATGTCCAGTTTCAACGGCAACAGATCCTTCAGACCGTACTCGGAGAAGACCGGGTTCATACGCAACAGTCCCCCATATCCGGTGCGCAGTTTCCTGCAAGCCGAAACAAACAAGAAGCGTTACGATTGAGATTCACCGAGTGCCAGCCCAGTTAGAGTCTTCCATTGGGCGCGTAAATGGTGTCTACAACCGTGCATCGAATCACGTGACTTTTGCATCTCTTAATATGGGATTAAGAAAAGATTGGGTAACTGAAATAGTTCTGTTGCTCGCTCGTGACTCATAGTTCGAATGAACGTTCACGCAGGATGATCCGCGTAAATCTAACAGGCAATACCTTAGGTTTTGGTTAAGGTCGAAAATACATATTCAATCCTTTTGTTATTCTATGCAAAATTATATTGGGGCATTATTTCATGACAGCGAGATCTATTAAAATCTTTGTGTATGAAATTTTGTTTACATATTTTTGATCCAATGAGATCAACGTTGATCTTCCGATTGGACCCAGTGAACAATTAATGATTTAAACTGGCTACTAGTAAATTCTAATGTGGATGTTACATGTATTTATGCTTGGTATATTTATGTCACGTACTGTAGTATGGTATAGTCCAAAAAATCGAAATGAATTCGTGTGATTTGATTAACTCCTTGCACTACGATTTCTTTCAGGTCCGAGTCCACTAGCACTGCTTCGTTCTTACTCATTTCCCCGATAGAATGAGACAATTTTTATTTTTTGTATGTCTTCATTTACTTTCATTTGCAGACTTTGATGACGGAAGAACCAAATTTTGTTTCGATTTAAGAGAAATGACTAATTGTTGCAGCGCAAAGGATTCTTTGATTTCGCTTTTCTAAGCTTTAACAGAGAACAGATTCCTATGGTTTGCATCGTTTTTGCGTTTCGTTGAACACGGTGTCGTCACGACACGGAATGAATTAACCGTGTTATAAGAGAATCGACTATATAAATCTACCTTTGTCCGAGTGTATTAGTGCGCCTAGTCCGGACGGACGCGTTTTCGTCTTGTGGAACGCCTTAAAGCAGCGGAGAAAGACCGCGGGTGCTCGATTGGGAAATCGTGGATCTCATAATGCGAGCGGACTAGAAAGTGCGAGGAGTATAGAATGCATGTATCCTTACGTTCGAAAATATAGAACAAACGTAATGCTGATTTATTGTCGCGGATGACGTAAGGGACGCGCGCGTCGGCTCTGAAGCGGCATCGAAGAGCCAGAGGCGGCTTCGGCGGCCGTGTTGCAAGTGTGTTCAATAACCGAACGCGTGACTATTATCGTTCGGACTGTTATTACGTTGTACAGTTTTCCCCTAAGTAACGTAAATTATGGGGCAACGTTGCTCGAAGACTTCATCCTGTGTTTTTCGTTGTCTGCTTAATGCTCGATCTATTGAAAATTGTTGGCAATTGATGCACGAGCTTGTCGGTCTGCATTATTTTTGCGGTGGGTCTTGCAGTTTATAAGGGGAATCAGGAAGTGATCGAATAATAAGGTCGACGATGTCTCTAGCGACTGAAAAATTGCAACATATAGTAAATTCTCCCCGATTGTCCTTCAGCTTGTGAACAAAGATGGACAATTTGGGAGCTGAGATACGATTATTCGAGCCTTGCGCCTCGTTTTTATAATTGTTGACAATCGGCAATCGAATAATCGTATCTCCTCTTCCGAAATTGTCCATTTTTATCTACAAGCTGAAGGACAATTGGGGAGAATTTACTGTAATTTGCAGCGGAAAAATGAAAACTATATCAAACTATATCAACTCGATGTTTATTCATTATAATGATACGTTGCCAAAACTTATTCAAATGAATACACTTGTCCAAGATTAATCATAAATAATGAATGTTAAAAACTTATTTTGCATAAAAATCCGCAATTTAGTCATTGAATTCTCTATTATCCGAACACGTTTGCACACAAGTAATTCAATCTAAGGTTACCATAATCACTATTTGTTGTACAGGTTAGTCAAGATTGGACCTAACGATGTGATTAACAAAATCGACTGTTCTATTATCCGAACATTTGCTTGATTAATTCGATTTACCGAGGTTCTACTGAAACGAAGTAACTGTTCTCTTATATGAATAGTCACACTTGCTTGATTAGTTTGTGTAACCGAGGTTCCACTGCATATAAATAATTAGAATGGCAGGCGCTTAGGAACTATGGACACGGACCGGCCACTTGTCGGTCACTTTCCAGTCACCTTGATCAATGTTTACACCATGTTCGTTATTTCACGGAAACTCAATTTCTGTGAAATAACTAATGCGACGAAAATATTCGTTTTCCTGGCCTGTACGTTAGCTTTTATTATTTCATAATTTGTTCGACCGTCTACTATCCAAATCTGTATGCATAAAATTTTGTTCGCATTTTTTTGATCCTTTGGATTGGATCCAATACAAACAATTGATGACTTAAACTCGAAAATTCGGATTTGGATGAAACTAGATGAACTTATAGAATCGAAATAAGTTCGTAGGGGTCGAATGGTTAATTGAACATTGGTTTTGCTTTAGTTTTAAGTTCCACGCGACACATGATCCACGCAATACCTTTCTACAGGGTGTTCCAAAATTGTGGTACTTCCAGGAAATGAGGAATTCCTGAGGTCATTTGAAGTAACTTTTTCCTCAGCGAAAATACAATCCGCGGCTTTGTCTCCCCGAGTTATTAAAAAAAAACCGTGACCATTGGGAGACGATATCAGCTGGCGCGAGGCGGCAGGTCCAATGTGCGGAACTCGTCCACTCGTTGGCTCGACCGCCATTGGCCTCTCATTGGCTAGTGTTTTTCGTTAATAACTCGTACACAAAGCCGCGAACTGCATTTTCGCTGAGGAAAAAGTTACTTCAAATAACCTCAGGAACTCCTTATTTCCTGCATGTACAATAATTTCTGGACACCCTGTATATTTCCTGGAACATAGTGTCCAGACGCTGGGTTTGATTAATTTGTTCTATCGACTACTTATCGCCAGGGATTGTAGATCGATTTCGGGTTTCCAATGGGGCATTACCTTGCGAACGTTTCCGTGACTCCGTAAACAGTGTTTCCGTCCAGCACTCCCGTCAGTAGATTAAAAGCCACACGAGATCCAAGCCGGCAGCCTGGTCGGACGGCGGGGAACGCGCGAACGAAGTCCAAGCATTTCACGTTGAACAGCCTGTAGAAATAATCGTCTTCCGGTATGTAGATTTCGTTGCAGTAAGGATTTTTTAAGTGTGGGGGTCGCCGACAACATTCCTCGGGGTCGTTACGATTCAGCGGATCTGAAAGAGAGAGATCATCGATCATACGAAAAACCGCCGGCACTTCCTTGCCCGGTGACGTTGTTTATTTAATTCCAGTTCCACGGACGTAGTTAACTTTCCCTGTCGATCTACTGAGATATACCAACGCATACTTGTCAGATAGCCGTTGTTGCTACGTGGGATGATTGTATAGAGAGCGGAGGTGTGAACGAACGATCGCTTGGCTGTACCGGTGATAAATGATGAAGGTAGATTTCGATATAAACGGTAAGCACAGACTCGACGTTCGTAGTATTTATAGTATCTATTATTAGACTCTGAATTTTATGCATTTGGTTCATTTCTCATCTCCTGAAACTCGATGGGGGAGCGCTGCTAAAAATGTTAAATTAATTCACTATTATTGGACATTAGAATCTTTTGGTAAGATAAAAATTGTCTGCTTTAGTTGAAAGACACAGAAGTCAAGCAAAAGTGTATTTCTTCCTTTCATCATTTTGTTGAGGTTAAAATAATATTTTAATGTTTTTAAATTGCTTTAATCACTTTGTTGTTTTTACATTTTACCTACCCATGTTGCCATAAATGCCTAAATTCCACAGTTTATTTATTTGTTATGTACAATATCTCGAATGAATGTGGTATCTATAATCTCTATTTTTGTGCTCTTTACATTGAATTTAAAAGATCAGAAATCGCTGATGCAAGTTTTATCAGTTACGTAATATAGAGTATCATTGTTTTAAATATTCCAATAATGATATGAATATGTTATATGTATTATATCGCTGTATCATATAAATAATGAGCGAGATCGTCAGGGGTCGCAATAAATATTTTTCAGATAAAAAAGTTGAAAAGCCATGGTTTTTTAAATCTTTCATCATGCGAACAAATTGCAATTTTTGAAAATAATAGCCATTGTCTACTAATCTAATCCTTCTAACATCTAAAAAAATTTAGATCACTTGTCCTAATCATAAAAAGAATTATTCCCTTTTAAAAGGTGTACGAATACTTTTTTACCCATTGTACCTATTTCATATTTTCCAATTACACATATCGCACTTATTTTCTTAACAACTATTTAAAAAGATGTGTTTTACTAGATATTCAGATTTGCATCACTTTCAACCTTTCATTTCCTCTATTTCTTCAATTACTGACTTCAATATCGGTTTGCCAAATGTTCAAAACACAAATTCTTCTACAATTTTTAACGTGTCAATTTCGATCATACTTTGGCACCTTGAATTAAAAATAACATGTGTGAATGTTTTGATTTCATTTTCATCGTAAGACATTTCTAAGGCAACTTTTTCCCGTAGATATCTTTTTTCAATTCACGAAAATTATAAAGTTGTAGTCTCGTATTTTCATAAATCACTATACATTTCTTGCTATATATCAAGCATTAAATATAACTTAATTTTCACGGAGACTTAGCATGCAAATTTTTTAACGCATTCGAAATTCAAACACAATTTTCTTATCATCGGAGAAATGTCACTTGCATCTACTCTAAGCGCCTCTCGTAATGAACTGCTCCGAAAGAGGTACATAGCAAATCAGTACGTATTTTAGAACTTTCCCCTATAAACAAAAACCGTTAGCTCTATGCTCATAGCTCGAAAAACCGGAAATTTCGTACTACGTCTTGCACAGTCGCAGAAAACGAGTTATCCGAAGCATACGACAGTTCTCTCGTGTGCAGGATGTTGTTCATCCACCCTTTCTTCGAACGATTCCTTCATTGGCAAACACGATTCCCATGTGTAATGCATCTCTGGCGACATTTCTCTCGGCACAATGAATTTTTCTATGGTGCCGCGTAACAGCTGGCCTCTTGTTCCTGCTGTTAATTACCAAGTTCCAGGATAAATGTGCGGACGTGTGTGATTTTGGCGTGGATCGCACGGCCCGTGGAAACGGTAGTCACATGATCGGCCCCCTAGTTATCTGGACGGCGATCGTTCGCTTTCTCTGGCAGTTACCCTAGTTTCGATAGGCGGTAAATATTCGACGTAGAAGGGCTTGGGAGCCGTCTGCGACGCTTGCTATATATGAACCTGCCGACGCGCTGATGTAATTGAACCGATGCCGATTGCATAATTTGCTATTGACTGAAAATTGGGACTCGCCTTTTTCCTCCTTCGCGCCGAGCAAATTCTCGGTTGATACCTCATTCCAGCTCACAAAGGCCTTCGTTCTTTCTCCTTTGTCGATAGCACCCCACTGCGTAATAATTCTCATCTGCACGCGTCATTCTAGAACTGTGAATCAGTTTTTAAAATTTACTTTCACATGATTGCGATGAGAAGACTGACGTAATTCGATTCCTTTGTGGTAGAAGCTCTTGTGAATGCATGGAAAATGAAACGTGGCCACCAATTTAATAAAGTTTACACGATACAAGACTGTCCTTCTTTGATAATTTAGCGTGCCCGTGACACAAAGGCATAAGCGTTAAGAGGCTGAGGCCGTTTTGGTTCGGTCATTGGCTTTTCAGAGTCATTCATCTAAATTACGGATCCGATTGTATCGATCTATCAATTTGTGTCAATTCATGTTTGCCTATTTGAACTTTCTAATAACTCGTTTAGCATTCGATGTATTTGGCGTCAAATCGAGTGATTAGAATTACTTAATACGTTACGTGACGACTTTTCGATAAAGTAACTAGTGCAACGTTGAATCTTACTTTACGTAGGAGAACCTCGGCTATGCGAATTTCTCAATGGGACGTACATATTGAAGAGTTATAACAGAAGAGTTATTTATTGTCGATTGCTGTGACAGACAGCAATAATGTTCCTTGGTGGATACGAGTACAATAGAAAAGAGTATCTGCTTTTTATATCATTTTTGTGACCTTTTTTTTTATTCGTATTATATGAATGCCATTCAGATTATATTACTTTTACTTACATCATATTCGTGCTATAAATCGTATAATGATCGTGGCAGATCAAATTTTTGCAAACGATTGCTAATTCTTTGTATTATATTAGCATTCCTCGGTTTGTTTATTCTTTTGAGCCTGTCGATTAATGCATTTTTAAGAAATTGCAACGTCCTGCGGTTTTCCTCACAGCCGTAGACATTTCCTACCAATAACTTGTTATCCGTCTCCTATCGCCCGCAGGAGATCGAAATTCTTAGAAGATTAGAATCGCTCCTCCATTTCATTATCTCCTGATTTTGCAATCTGTTGTTGCGCACCGTATAAGCATGCAACGAACATTCCATCCTCTCAGTTGATTGCTGATTCCACCCGGAACGTTACGCAACGAATATTTTACTTTTACCAGTCAAAGGTTAATTTATCTATTTTTCTCTCTCGAGTCTGTTATCAGATCCTGCGATCAGTCTTGACGAATCGCACGACTCCGCGTAAGCTGGACGATTATCGACGCTGTAATCGTACCTAGAGGCGTTCCCGTCAACGTGTAGTCGTGGTCCATGAACTGTCCCCAGGCGATCACCATAACCGTGCCCGCATGATCGTGATAACCTTCGTCGGGATGCATGGTGCGCGACACGATGCGTGATAGTGGCAGATCTCGGCCGGTCACCGATATTCTCGGCGCTGTCAAACCGTCCGCGAACCGTGGAGGCATTAATCTGCGAAGGAAAGAAAAATTCGTCTTAGAAAACTTCGGAACTATCGTGACAAACGATTATGATCACCCACGCTAATGGAGAAAGATATAGGCACCCGGAAAATGATCGAGATCAGAACTTCACTTCGTACACTTCTGACTTTGAAGTTCTATCTACAGGCTGTCCCAAAATTATTATACAAGCGGGAAATGAAGGGATTCTGAGGTCATTATAAGTAACTTCTTCCTCAGCGAAAATACAATCGGCGGCTTTGTTTACGAGATATTAACGAAAAACAGTGACCAATGAGAAGCGAGCTTGGCAGCTGAATGGTGGTCTAGTCAACGAGCGTAAAGGGCAGGCTTTTATCTATCACCTTGCAGTTCCCGCACTCACCTTTCATTGGTCACTGTTTTTCGTTAATAACTCGTAAACAAAGCCACCGACGGTATTTTCGCTAAGGAAAAAGTTCCTCAGGAACCCTTCATTTCCCGCACGTATTAACAATAATTTTGGGAAACCCTGTATTAACGCTCTCCGACAGAAAGATACTACACGCGCATTAGCGTTAGTAAATTGCTGTCTCATCTTTATATTTAATTTTACGAAAACTGACGTTTCTTGTTGACCTACGTTTATATTGATACTCTGATAGAAGCTATAATAGTGCTGCGGTGATAGCATAATTTGTTGTCATTTCATATGCTGACTACCATTCCTGTCACGCGTGGATCATACAATTCATTATTTATTTTTAATAATTAATTTCTATCGTAATATAGTTACGCAAATAAAATGTGTCCAAGATTTGTAGAATTTAAAATAGTTCATAAAGTAAAAGTTGTGACATATGTTAACCCTGTAGTTTCGATTTCATTAATTCAATTAGATGAATCATTATGCTCAACTTCGACACTATGGTATATCGAAAAATTAATAAATGGTTTGTTGCTTCGAACACCGCCTGTTGAACACCCCTGTATACAGAGGTTGGCCGCATTATATGCACATGTCTATGTTGTAATGGTATAACATAATTATTTAGTAATAATATTTAAATTCAGAAGTGCAAATTATATACTTTTACAGGGGTTCAGGACTATATACTAGATAAAAACAAAATTAAATCGATTGGAAGCTCATAAAAAATTGAACACGCGCTAAAACATGATAAAAGTGTATTCATCAGTATATGATGTAAAAAAAATCGTTCGTAGATTGTTATGTTAGCTAAAAACTTTACTTTCACATATTTTGTGGAAAAATCTTTTGAGCGTAATTATTTGACCAACCTCTATAAAACAATAGGACGTGTTTCTACGCTGCAACATAACCGTATCCTAAAAGATTTCGGGTATGTAGCAACAAAGAGCACTAGTAAGAACAATACCACTGCGTTTAGTCAACTGTTACAGACTATACGTTGATTATTTACCTCTGGAATGGAGATAGTGTTGAACCCCAGCTTGGGTTCCTCAGGTTTGTGCAGAGACCATCGTTACGTCGGTATTTTCCTGGTCGACATTCTACATCGCTTAGATAAGCTGGGCAGACCTCGCGGATCAGAGTCTTCGAGGTATCGATCAGGGGTAGACTTTTCTCAATGTCTTCGATGGTAAGTCCATACCTAGCGCAATTCGATTCGGTAACAGGATATACAAATTGTTTAGCTCACATACGCTATAAATACTGTATATGTTCTACAGAGTAACCCATTATTATGTTAATAGCCGGAAAGGGGTGATTACTGAGGTCATTTGAAGTAACTTTTTCCTTAGCGAAAATGCAATCCGCGGCTTTGTTTACGAGTTATTAACGAAAAACAGTGACCAATGAGGACGCGAGGCGGCCGAGCTAATGAGCAGAAGTGGGCTTCGTGCGGTCGTTGGCTCGCCCAGTTTCGTTCATTGGCGCGACCGCCTCGTGCCAGCTAATCTCGTCTCTCATTGGTCACCGTTTTTCGTTAATAACTCGTAAACGAAGCCGTGGATTGCGTTTTCGCTAAGGAAAAAGTTACTTTAAATGACCTCAGGAATCACCTATTTCCAGCTGTTAATATAATTATGGAACACCCTGTATAGTTAAATATTGAAACAATTATTATTTTCTCGAAAATTTCATACGTGTGTTCAGTTTTACACCTTACTGCATGCATCAATTAGTATCAATAAACAGAAGGTTCTTACGTTTTGGCGAGGTTCGTAGAGATATCCAAAAGGAGTTCACCGACCGTTGCTAGGTCTTCTGGCCGCCACGTTTTGCCTTTGGGTTGCGCGACATCTATAAAAATTAGCAGTATATTAATGTGAACATGAAATATTAATGTCGGAGGTAAGTTCGGAAAAGTTCTATTGGTAGCTGTAATGTTTAAGACAAAATTTGGCATCTAAAACGGAAATCTGATCGAGTCGTAAATAATTGCAGTTTTAGTGTATCGATTCTATTTATTGATAAAATCAGTAGCGATTATATCTTAGTCAATTATACTTCTTCAGTTGTAATGGTTTGACACCATTCATCTCGAAGCTTGAATATAATGAGTAGTTAGAATGATGAAATTATTTATGGCTCGACCGAATGTAATTATCATACTGATTTGTAGTAGTTGTTCCGCGTTAAAAGTATATAGAAGCTATCTATAGTAATAAAGCATACGTGGCTCGACCGCTCGACCCAACACCGTCCCTACCATGCAATAGATTCCGAAAATTACCAAACGACCCCATCTGTACTGCAAGCGTCTTTCCTCAAACAAATAAGCGACCGTAGCAATAGTATCTAATTATTCTAAAAGCCATTATTTCCTGCCTGTAATGTTTCCTTCAACGCTGCTACGTCTGGTCGCCAAAATTCTCTCACCGTCACGTATTCCCTTTACCTTCTACACAACATCAATTACCCAAGGCAATATCTTTTTCCCCAGTCTTATTACCTGCGACAGTTAACCTTCGAGACACGCGGATTCTTCGCGAGATTCACTCGCATGTACGATTCATACCTGAAGTCACTGTTAGTTCGGGGCGATCACCTTTTCCCTTGCTCACAATTTTTTGACCAATCACTCAAAACGACCGCTTCACCTTTTAGATCCGGAAAACTTAAAAAAACATTGAATCCGAGTGTCTCATTAAAAACTTCACACCCCTAACGAATCTTCTTAAAAGACAAAATAGACAACGAACGGACAGATACTAACCAGACACCAACGCGTAAAGACTTCGGTCAACACTCCGTCGATAGTCTCACTGTCAACTCAATTCATTCTAAGCCAAGTACAGTTAGTCACCCTAGCGTTAAAAATTGTTATGTTGTGTTAAAATATAGTGTTATTGATATCAGCCAGTGTTAAAACCATTCTTTATCAACTTATCATCCGTATCACTCGAAAGAGTCATAGGGAATCGCGCAGACTCGGTGTCACACACGATTGAATCGG